CTAGTTGACTCGACTCCCCGTGTCCATTAGCTTGTGCTCATTAATGTCGGTTGTAGACTAATACGTCATTATTTCTTACACGCATAATATTCATATTCTACTCTCCTTACAATTTATCATCCATGTCCAATTAGAGATAAGGACCCCGCGTGCGCACCACAGTTTCGTGTGATTTAGAACAAGTAAGACCACTCGACAGCAACAAATTCCAAATCTCATCCTGCAGGCACTAATCGATTAATCCCTCGTCAGCGCGTTGCAGTTCCAATATAAATTTAAAAGTCTACAGCCGGAATGAGCACAAGCTACTGAACATGGGAAGTCGAGTCAACTAGGTCCTTCTACCACGTCTTTCTTGGTAATCCTATCGGCCAACTGCTTTGCGGCGTTCGGAGTCAAACCACACCTCTTGTTGAGGCGAAGGGCAATATTATCTTTCGAATGCAATTTACCTGAAACTAGCCCCCTCAGCTTTTGCATCAACGACACTTTCAGGTCCTCTCCTCCACTCCATGTTCGTTTCTGCCCGTCAGCAGTGAACTCCTTAACAACTTTGCGGATCGTGGTGCGCGATTGCTCATACCGTTCTGGACAATTGCCTCGAATGGTGGTGATGCATGCATGACCATCGACACGGAACTCCTGACGACAGAAACTATCTTGGTTTCTCTTCCACCAGTCATCCATTTCCCCGCCTTCGTTTTCGAGGTATGTGATCACTATCACAATGGGGACCTTCTTTTCACAAAGGAATTCGTTAAAGAGCCGGAGATTGTTATGGAGCGTGTCGGTGAGTCCGCCTGCGCGCATGCAGAACAAAAGTAGATCAATGCCGCCTTGTTTCTCCAATTTGTGGATGAGACTATGGGCATTCTCGACAGCATCGAGGTACTGCGGGATTCCTTTCTGTGGTTCCTCGAGTCCAATAGTATCGAATATATTATAAGAACCGCCACCGAATTCGACGGGATACTCCTCCCACTTCAGGCAAACGGATGTTTTTGCTACGTTCTCTCCCGCTATCAGATTGACGAGTGAGCTTTTGCCTGCCCCTGCCTGCCCAAAAATGACAATATTTGGGTGCTTGTTGCGACTGATAAATGTTAGGAAGAAGCGATACAAAGAGTATATGGAATACGTACCCTGTGTTATTTGATAGGCGACACTGCTTGATGAGTTCGCAGACAGCGTTATGTGACTGGGTGCGGCGCTGCACGAACATAGGTCCTGTCATTGTCGCTGTGGTAATGCACGCGTGACCAGCAAAGGTCATCCCGAGCTTTGAGATGGTCCGCTCATTAATCCTCCACCAGTCTTCCATCTCTGGTTGATATGATTCCAGAGATGTGACGACAAGGACAATTGGAACTTTCCCCTTGACTTGAGAGCGGATTAACTCATAGTTCTGGCGGAGTGGCCGAATTTCTCTCTCACCCCGCACACAGTATATGACGAGATGAAGATCGCCTTGCTCCGTCAGAGTTCGAAGGAGCTTCTTCAAAATTCTTCGAGCTTCCTTATCTGGGACTGTGCCTCGGGGGCCCTCGTTCAGACCTGCAATCTAATTCAGCAATAGCCACGAGGAGCGACGAATTGGACCGACCGACCGTATCAAAAAGCTTCACCTTCGACGTCTCGCTCAGAATCGAAACTTCGTGCACATTGGTTGTAGTTGTACATCCCATAGCATCGCAAGACGTCACCGCCATGTTCGCCCCAGCGATCAAATTGACCAAGGAACTTTTACCAGATCCGGATTCTCCGCAAATGACAACATTGAACGTGTCTGGGTGGTGTGGAGGTTTTGTGACTTCATTATGGTTGGAACCGGCGAAATTTCGAGACGGCTGATTTCAAGTTAAGCTTACTAGCTAAGGAGGAGTCAAACAACACTTACTGTAGATGTTTGTGTGCGAAACAACATTGCAATAATGACTCAAGACAAGGCAGAGAAAGGTACGTCTTGACTTGCGCTTTCGCCGTTTTTGAGTAGTGTCAGCCTGCCTTCTCGTTAAAACAGGAGTCAGTAATAGTATGATCATGAAGACGCTTGTATTCAGCATGTTCCGTACACGTGCCAGCCTGTGAGATCAGAACGGCGTTGAGCATTAGGGAGGCAGCTTATGGATATATGGAAAACCGCTATGCTGCCTAAATGCATTGAGTTTGAAAATCAGTGGACCGGTGGGTTCTTGCTGGCGGTTATGCTGAATGCGGTGTATTTACATGGTCATATATTGCTTTATGATGAGTTTATATTCCAATGTAACAAAATCGTTTCAGGCCTACATATTACGATACAAGTTCACACATGGCACACATCATGATGCTAAGCTGCTGGTTTAGCTGCAGCGGTGAGGATTCGGCTATGCACTTCAGGGTACGGGCGATAAGCCAACGCATTAATGTTATTAACCTAATACTAGAAGAAATCAAGTGATAGCATCGTGTCATCAACATGTTCATGTTATTATACGGCAGAACTGCCCTGGAGGCTGTTCTGATCGATCACGTGTTGCATATACATATTGATCGTTTCCGATGGCGCACCGTTTATTATGTCTGGCGCTAGAATTAATATTAATCTCCCGCCCCTTCATTTTCTATTTTCACTACACGCTTTCCAAATTCCAGTGTACATCGCTGCGATACTGCTACTTGACCATCCACACCACCGTACAACACATGCAGCCATTGTTCAAAAATTGTTCGTCTCCGCATCACGATCGCCCTTCTTTGGCAGAGGTGTGAGGAATAGCGCTGAAATCTCCACCTGAAGCGAATCAATGTTATCCTCGCCCACACCGTTTGTCTCCTTCCTCGTGTTCCGCGTCATTTTACCCTTCGAGGTGATCAGTTCTTGGTGAGGCCATCTGCGTTTCGCTAGTTCAGGCTTTCGCTGTTTGAACCTCTGTCACGGTTTCATAGGCTGGGAGGTCTGGGCGATGGATGGGGTTTCTACAATGTTGTCATTGTTATGTACTAGTAAGCACCACACCCTGCCCGGAACTTCGGTCTGTGGATGGTTCGATTTGCTTGTACACACTAAAACTCAAGTTGTCGGAGTTGTATGAGATGGGCTTCACAGTACGTGACGAGAAGTTGAAGAAGCTAAGTCACGACACAATCTCGAGGCCTAGGGATGTCACTTGCCTTTTAACTTGGTTCCCCATTCCATATCTTCCTGTCATCTTCTAATTTTTTTTGAATATATCCTCACCACGAATCATACGATCGGCACAGACACTGCCTCTGCTATTTTGCCCCAACGCTGCATGTAGTTGCAGGGGCTTTGACGCTCGTTCTCTGCTTCGTTGAAGTAATCCCTGTGATTCATATTTGGTCACCAAGCCCTTCTTACAGGTGACTAAGAATTCATTTGTTGAATCTTACCATCAACACGAGTTTGTCTCCAGTTCATTTGTCGGATGCGGCTTAGCGGGAATCCGTAGGCGAATGCCAATCGTTGAGTCAGTATCCAATCGATGAGACGTCTGGAGTATGGGTGCAAGGAACGTGGTCAAAGTTCGTTGGGTTTTAAAAGAAGTACAGTCAAACGCCACGGTGCCCCAGTACCATCCTTAGCATCGCTTCCAAATCACGATGAACCCAGATGCAAGGTACGTAGAATCTAGACAAGATCCTTGCGCCATTTTTTTTCTAACAATGATGAGTAGAAACAAGCATACAAACGTCGTACTCTTTGGGCAAGGAGGAGCAGGAAAAAGCTCACTTGTCAATCTCATAGCGGGAGAGAATGTAGCAAAAACATCCAATGACCTGACACGCTGTACGCTGAAGTGGGAGGAGCATTCCGTCAATTTTGGTGGCGACTCTTATAATATATTTGACACTGTTGGACTCGAGGAACCACAGCTGGGAATCCCACAGTATCTCGATGCTGTCGAGAATGCCTATAGTCTCATCCAGAAATTGGAGAGACAAGGCGGCATCGATCTACTTATGTTCTGCATGCGCGCAGGCCGACTCACCGCCACGCTTCAAAACAATTACCGGCTCTTCAACGAATTCCTTTGTGAAAGAAAGGTCCCCATCGTTATAGTGATCACATATCTCGAAAACGAAGTCGGGGAAATGGATGACTGGTGGAAGAGAAACGAGAAAGCCTTCCGTCACCAGGAATTCTATGTCGATGGACATGCGTGCATCACCGCCATTCAAGGCAATTGTCCAGAACGGCATGAACAATCGCGCACCACGATCCGCAAACTTGTCAAGGAGTTTACTACTGGCGGGAAGAAGCGAGCATGGAAAGGAGGAGACAACTTGTTTGTGTCGTTGATGCAAAAGCTGAGGGGGCTAGTTTTGGGCAAATCGCGTTCGAAGAAGGATAATATTGCCCCTCGCCTTACCAAGAGGTGCGGTTTGACTCCGGACGTCGCAAAGCAGTTGGCCGATAGGATTAAGAAAGACGCAGGAGCTACTTGATTTCCCATGTTCGATAACTTGTGCTCATTCCGTTTGTGGACTTACCTTGCCAATACGTTATAACTTACACACATAATGATTTCACTCTTCGAAAATTTCACAACACATCATGCATGTCCAATTCGAAACAAGTACCTCGCACGCCACAACGTTTTGCGTGATTCAGAATGTCTTTGAGACATTGTCGCTGACCGTTAATTGAGCTCTGAGCGTAGTCCGACACCTGTAGTAGTAGACAGGCCTTGATAACAGAAAGACAGTCGCGAACAGGTATTGACTCGGAGTGGGAGTGGAAAGTTCACTGACCCGGCGTACTGTCCCTACATACCATTATCTTAGAGTTATTGTTTAGTGTTTGATTTTAGATGAGGGATCCAACCGAATCAGACAGCGTTACACGAAAAAAGACTAATCTTTGATTAAAATGGGTATATGGGTAGGCTAATTTAAAGAACAGTGTGCGCTATGAACAACTGGGAGGCATGGTATAGATAACAGTAATCAACTTCGTAAATCGATATCGTGCATTATGGATACGAGTAGGGGATGATTTAGCCTTTCACCGTATTGTCGAAGTCAAGTAGCTCAAATTCTTCCAGTTCGCTAGCATGGCCACTGGCATTGGCGCCACTGTACTTCCTGCGCGCAGAGTAAGCATCGAGGCAACACTTCCAAAGGGGAACTCACTGTGCAGCTTCATAACCTACTATGTCTTTCTTGATCTTACTAGCTAACTCTTTTGCGACTTCCAGAGGCATATGGCAGCGCTTGGTGAGGTAGGAGACAATATCCTTCCTTACAGGTGACATCGATGACACGAACAGGTCGTTTCCTCCTTTCCATGCTGGTTTCTGCCCGTCAGCAGTGAATTCCTTGACAAGGTTCCAGATCGCGTTGCGTGATTTTTCTTGCAACATTGGTTTGTTTTTGACTTGAATGGCAGTGATGCAAGCATGACCATTGACGAGGATCTTCTTCTTACAAAAGGTGTCCTGATTTCTCGTCCACCACTTCTCCATATCCAACTCCCTTTCAAGGTTCGTGATCGCTAGAACGATAGGAACCTTCTTGCCACAGAGGAATTCGTGAAAGAACCGGTAATTGTTTTGGTGCATAGCATTGAGTTTGCCTGCGCCGGACACGCAGAACACAAGAAGGCCAATTCCCCCTTCTTTCTCTCGAGCCTGAACGAGGTTATAGGCATTCTCGATAGCGTCGAGGTACTGTGAGAATTCCAGCTGTAGTCCATTGGCTCCGGCAGTGTTGAACACTTCATAAGACTCGCCACAGAGTCCAACGGTATCAAACACCCTATAAACCTCGCCGCCGAATTCGACGGGATATTCTTTCCAGCGATCTGTGCAGTGTCTAATGCTACAGGATGTGCCTGCTACATCCTTTCCCGCCATGAGGTTGATGAGTGAGCTTTTACCTGCTCCTTTCGCCCCAAAGACCACGATAGTGTTAGGCTTGGTCCTACTTACCAACGTGAGAAAATACGATAAGTGCACAAAGTGTAGGGGATAACGTACCTTGGAACCCCGTTAAAACTGCCTGATAACGATCCAGTGCGAACCCCTGTGTTATTCGATGGACGACAGTGCTCGATGAGTTTGCAGACAGCATCGTATGACTGGGTGCGGCGCTCCTTGAACATAGGTCCTGTCATTATCGCCGTAGTGATACATGCGTGGTCAGCAAAGGTCATCCCGAAGTTTGAGATGGTTCGTTTATTGACCTTCCACCAGTCTTCCATGTTTGGTTGATAGGATTCCAAACATGTGACGACAAGGACAATTGGAACTTTCCTCTTGACTTGGGAGCGGATTAACTCATAGTTCCGGCGGAGCGTCCGAATCTCTCTCTCAGCCCGCACACAGTACATGACGAGATGAATATTGCCTTGCTGCATCAGAGTTCGAAGGAGCTTCTTCAAAATTCTTCGAGCTTCCTTATCTGGGACTGTGCCTCGGGGGCCCTCGTCCAGACCTGCAACCTAGTTCAATAATAGTCACGAAGAGCGACGAACTAGACCGACCAGCTGTGTCGACAAGTTTTACCTTTAACGTCTCGTTCGGCGTCCGAGCCATTGAAATGTCGTACATATCAGTTCCAGCTGTACATCCCCCAGCATCGCAGGATGTCACTGCAATGTTCTTCCCAGCGATCAAATTGACCAAGGAACTTTTACCAGAGCCGGCTTCTCCGCAAATGACAACATTGATTGTGTCATTGAATGTGTCTGTGCGGCGTAGAAGTTTCCGACTTCAGTATGGTTGGAACCAGCAACGAGATGAAGGACTCCTGATTTCAAGTTAATCTTAGCTGAGGAAAAGTTATACAACACTTACACTAAATGATTGTGTGAGAGCAGGTCTCGACATTACAATAATGATTCAAGACAAGAAAGCGAAAGGTATGTCCTGACTTGCGCTTTCGCTGTTTTTGAGTAGCGTCAGCTCTCCTTCAGCGGCCTTCTCATTAGATTATGAGTCAGTATGTCCAGGCATATGATGAAGACGCTTAGACTCAGCATGTTCCGTACACAGCGTGCCAGTGAGATTCTAGAACCGGCGTTGGGAATTGGGGCGGCGTAGCTGCGCGGACTCATAGATATTACAACCATGCTGTCTAAATGCATTGGGTTTAATACATGGCACATGCTAAGTTGCTGGTCTGCTACATAGTAGCTGCAGCGGTAAGGATTCGGCTGTGCACTACAGGGTACTGACAATGAGCCATATTAACCTCAGTTAAAAGTGAAAAATAAAGTGGTTGATTACCTAGCTAGAGTTATCAACAAGCATGTCACCAAAATGTTACCTTGCAAAAGTACATAGTACTGCCAGGAGGTTGTCCGGGATGGTCGACTGATCATAAAGTGCCAGTTGCTGGTGACCGGAAGGAAGCCCACTAGGCGGCAGCTGCCGATGATCGGTGTGTCACATGTCACTGATCGATCGATCAGCAGCAGTTGTTTCTAAACCACTCATCCAGAATGAACGTGTTTGACTTCATCACACATTCATGGTGAACATGAGAGTCGTGTTCCAATGCACTTGCCACTCGGTTGGTATGTTTCTCATTCTCGTTTGTTCATTTCGCTACTCGAGTACCCCGTTTACTAGTACCATCCGCTCTCCAAATTCCAGTGCACATCACTGCGATACTGCTACTTAAGCTTGACCTTCCACACCACCGTAATATCTCGGCGATAAAGTAGCAACTTTCATTGACATTGATCTACCTAGTCACAGCCGTTCGTTTTCGTTATTATGCACACTCAACGTACGCCACCTCGCGCCACTTCTTCTTTTTTTCGCTATTATGGACCGCGTGTGACCCGCATTCTATGTTGAGTGGCATGCCCATTTACGCCACCACGAACCGCAAGCTTATTGAAACGTGCGCTCTGCTCTGCCGCAGTGATCCACATGTTCGTATCCCCCACTGTTGTGGGCCGCGTGCTCATCTACCTCATGCTTGATCTTTCTTCGCTGTCCTGGGTCCTCGCCCACTGACGCCATCATTAGGTTGCTCGTGGCACCCACATATGTCAACTGGAGGTGGCTTAGCGTCAGCGGTGAGGAGTCCAGAACACATCCGTGTTGCGACTTGTAATGAGGTCAAAGCTGGAATCTAAACTTTTCGCGGGCACCCCCTCCACTGCAAGACTCAATCTGCCCGCTTCAAGTACCACGAACTGTGCCAATACTGTCCACCGGCAATGAGCGAGCGAAACACGCCTTCTTATCGTGTGCGATCGTAGGCCTATCGCCACAGCCTGTGACAAAGGCTTCCAATGCAGGGTCCAGCAATGACCACGGAAATGAACATTCGCACCACGAAAGTTCGAACGCCAAAGTTCCCCCCTCTCCCCAATCGTCCTGAACGCGAGGACGCAGTTGTGGAAGATGCGACGGTAATAAATGATCCAGTGCAGTTTGATTATGTATGGTATACAGAGCAATGATAGCGAGGATAAAAAGGAAATAAGATAGCAAGAGATCAGAAAGACGTGAGCAGAGACTGTACCCACGCATTTTGTTCTATGCGTGGTCTGAACTCTTCGACACATCGCCGCAGTTCAGCTAGCTGAGCCTCGTGTGACACATCGTCCATCATGACGTCCTCATCATCAGCTGAAGACTCGGAGGCCCACTTTTTCAGTAACTCCTCGATGATTTGGATGCCCTCCTCGGTGATTTCGTCCGAATGCTCGGGTTCTGATTGTTGTCCTGCTCAGCAAACATCAGCGCGACAGATTCCTGACATTTTTTTGTAACAATTACCAGTTGCGAAATCTTCTAGTTCATCTGCTTTCCGTTTTGCGAGCTAGAACACGGT